CAACCAACTTCTCTTCAATTATTTACTAAAGCCACCCATCAATCCACTATTACGGTTATAAATTTAATTTTTGTAGTGTTGCGGTTCAAAAGATTTTAAATAGATTGTAGACATAATGGTTTTTGTTTATTTTTTTGGGACGTTTCAGGATCCACTTTTATATCCCATCTTCAGACTAGAATTTATAATATTAAAGCTATTAACAATTTTATACAATCAATACAGCATTTATTTATATAACTTTAAACAACAATAATTTATTTTTTTTTGTCAATTTTAAAAGTATATCCATCCTTAAAATGTACTAATTTTAAGTTTATTATTTAGTAATAATTAAATAAATAATACACTTAAAATTATTGCTTTTTATGAATATGACAATAAAAAATATAATAAATAATACGACAAAATCTTATAGAGAATAAGATGATATAGGATGAGAATACTGGTAAGATTGGTATAAAAAAAAAAAATTAAATTATTGTTAAACCCCACTTATCCCTGTTGAACAAATTCGATACCTTGGACTCCACTTGGACAAACGTCTAACTTGGAATCATCATACAAGACTGAAACGACAAGAAACAGCTCGACGTTTCCGACTACTCCAGCACTTACTAGACAAACGCTCTAATCTCCCAGTCAATTACAAAAGACTCATATACATGACTACAATAAGACCTATTTGGACTTACGGAGTTGAGCTCTGGGGCTCCACTAAGCCATCGAATTCCTCTCGTATCCAATCCTTACAATCCAAAATCCTTCGTAAAATCCTCACTGCTCCTTACTTTGTCACAAACAAAATCATCCATAACGACCTTAATGTTCCTTATGTTTCTGACCTTGCCCAATCCAGATATCTATCCTTCCATAACAAACTTCAGAACCATCCAAACCCTCTCGTTTCTAACCTTGCTTCCTCTTCGATCCATGACAACCCTCAGAGGCGTCTGAAAAGAAGATGGCCTCGAAATCTCCTTTTGTAAATACATTTTTAGAGTGCTACCAGTGGGTAGTTTCTCAACATGTGATTTCATGCCATTTTATTCCTTTGTTCACATTTACTGAATGTATTTTTACTTGTAATACAGTTATAAATATCATCAATAAATAAAAAAAAAAAAAAAAAAGTTGTTTAAAGTTATATAAATAAATGCTTTATTGATTGTATACAATTGTTAATAGCTAAAATATTATAAATTCTAGTCTGAAGATGGGATATAAAAGTGGATTTCGAAATGTCGTGATAGTAGAGTGGAAATGATTTTGGGACAATAAATACTGTAAAAAAAATTCTTACTTATTTACCTATCATATATTTTGTTTTATCTTTATTTACTAGTGAACCGATTTGCTTTGTTTCTCTTATCAGAGTCTTTAGCAAGTTTTTTTAACGTCCTCTTTTCTATATTATGGCATTAATTAATTTAGAAGGAGGAAGTGTTGATAATTAATTAATTCAGACAAGAGAAGGTGTTAATATTTAATATAAAGCTTCGAGTAGAATATTCAAAAGCTTTATTTTACAGATTACTCAAGTTAAAATTAAGTAATGTAAGCTGATGTTGAAACTTTTCCAACATGCAAAGCCCGTCCTACAACTTAACTCGGCATGGGGGAGGAGAGATGAAGTACTTAATAAGTTATTTAAGCTTATAAAAGTTTAATTCCCTCATTGACTCTACCGTTTTATTAACTAGATCGGATTAATAAATTAATGCACTTCACAGATCAACCCGACAATTGGCCGTCGTGTACAATCTAAAACATTTACATATACACACTCCGATGTAACGTTCTCTTTGAGGCATGAATACTGCAGCATACAAAACGCTTTGCAATCGGACCATCAACGAACGGTAGGTCACCACATGACATGACACAACGACCGCATGTGTATAGTTCAAATGTCAGAATGCACATATCTAACGAAATTATAGTAAAAAATCATCAGAAACGAGGAGAATAAGCACTTCTTTTTTTTTAGTAGAACATTAACAATCAGAATTTTTTATTAAATAACTATACACCGCAAAGCAAAAATGCGGAAGTCAAACCGCCCTAATCGTAAAGAGGAAGTCGCCGTGACCAGGTTAAGAATAGGACACACGAGCCTAACTCATGTACATCTCATCACTAAGCAGCCACCATCAATTTGTCAGCATTGCAATAGCCCTCTCACAATCAACCATATTTTCCAAGAATGCACTTATTATACTTGAAGCCTAAATCGATTATCTGTAAAACCGGATATATCAGCGGTATTAAGCAACAACGAATCAAACATAAAACCAGTAATAAAATTTCTTAAAATCCATAGGCTATTAAATAAAATATAAGAATAAATATAATTTTTATTTTATTGTTCTTTCTTTTTTTATGTTTATTTTAATATATTTCATTTCTTATATGTTTTTCATTTATTAGTCTATCTATTATTAATTATTAATTCTCCTCTAAAGAGTTTACAAATATAACACACTTACAGACGTAGATGACCCTAGAGTTTTACGCCTTAAAGCCTAAATGAACAAACTAACTTATGAGGAAGACATTTTTTCTTCCCAGTATATATCACAAATCAAATCTTTGTATTCGTGCGGGAGATTAAAAGTTTCTAAAGTTGTATCCAAGTTTTAAAAAAATAAAACACTACCCCATTTTCTGCATCATTATCTTCGTATCGATAATCAACTGCCGGCCTAACATTTTTTAGCATACACTTTCTTATTTCATTCATTCATATTTTGATCCTGTCTTCAGAGTTATTCAAACAAAATATTAAACATGTCCTTACATTTCATCGATTTTTACCTCAATTTAAAGTACTGTCGATGTTTAATATAGTTTTTTTAGATAAAGTCACATCATTGATCTATGCATAACTTGCACCCGTCCTATTTTCGAACATAACCTGACGAAATTATATTGACAAATAATACAATGTAACTTTTGCTACACTGTTTTGAGCGCATTCGAATTTCGCATTCGGGTCACACGGCTTTGCGAAACAAACAATTACCTATTGAAATATAGATATCGACGTTACGAGTACTTTTTTGGTAGTTTGGAATAGATTCCTCTCTATGAAGAATCACAGAGCTATAATCTACATTATATAAAATAAGGTTTATATATAAGATTGGAGGTTTCTAAACTCCGTTAGTAAGTCGACGGATCGAGACAGAATTAAGTGGTTTTTAAATTCGACAGTCATTCAGGTCCTGCGACTTATAATGTCCTATAATGCACCGATTTTGAGATAAACCGTACTTATTTTGCCGAAAGTTACTTAAGTGTTTTGGTTATCATGAGGATACATTGAATACTAACCACATGTTTATAGTCCGTGGTACAAATCCCTTTTTATCGAATTATTAACATCCGCCTGAAACTTTATAAATATTTTAATCTCATCGTAAGCTACAACTATCACCATCATCTGAAGGGAGATAAACATTGTCTATTTAATTAGGTACTAAAAACTCGGAAATACCCATTTTTTTTTCTATTTGGATCGTAAGATAATTTTATCACAAAATAGATTAAAAAAAATGTGGCCTTCAAAAATATTGAGCCGTTTAACGTGACCTGCATTTTTAAAATAACGAGGTTATATTGGACAAACGGAACAATATTTTTTTGGGCCACATTTTTTATAGATTTTGTGACCAAATTATCTTATGATCTGAGAAGAAAGCAAATGGGTATTTACGCGTTTTAAGTTCCTAATTAAATAGACAAAGTTATCTGACATCTAATGCCTTGTCTAATGACACAGCCTTTATTTAATGCCTAGCGGAATATCTTCTAGGAGTTCATGAAGATTATTTTGCAAAAAATGCAAGTAAGATATACCTGACAGTCTAGGTGACAAAAAGAAGGACCGATTATGTTGTCGCGTAGAAGACCACACCAGACATTTAAAAAAAAAGTATGTTAGTAATATCCAACAGCAGTCCTATGAGGGTTTCTTGTAAAGCAAGATTCATCAGTAACCAAAATGCGGTACTGGAAGTAAGGATTGTCGAATTAGCCACTGGGAGAAATTTCTGCTTATGTTATAATCTTGTGGTAACAAATCTTGCCTACTCGCTACGTGAAATGGATACAATTATTGTTCGTATAAATTCGCCATACGCAGGTAGAAGAAACATCGAAACGACGTGACAATCTTCTGGTACTAGTAGTAGGAGATATCTGAGTAGCATCGAGTATCTCTTCTTCAACTTGCAGCTTGCAGTTCGTCGAAATCTTTGTCGACCAGCGTTTACTCGTATTGATTTTAGCGTGTCATTATCCCTAAGACGTCTTTCAATGGCCTCAAATGTTTTACGATTTGGTATTCTTCGGTTAGGAAATTTTTCACGATATCTTCGAACAGCAGCAGCACCGTTTCTATGTACCTAGCCATAAGTTAAAAGCATGTCTGTTTGTTCTGGAAAAGTGAATAAATTTATGGTGTCTCCCATGATAATCATGAATTGAACTGTTAACAGTATTTACTCGCACTAAAACACAGAACTAGACAAACAGATGAGCAACTACTGTCATTGCTTATCATTTGTTTATCAGATGATTAAAGCCTATTATTTAGTATTAAACACGTTAAACTTTGTACAGTCAGTCTTAATGTAGTAAATAAATAATAAATCTTTAACCGTTGATATCTGTTTAATAGATGAGTTTGAGATATACGTTAATATGAACTTTTTTGTTTATTTTGTGTTAGTGAACACATGCCTAAAATACACATACCTTAGAACTATAGTAAAGCGGTCTAAATACCAGAAACTGTGGTTTTAGGCATATTATTTGTGACTATCTTGTACAAACGAATAAAGACGTTTTGCTTATGTCACTTTTACGTCGAATGCATTACAGAGAAGAATAGTTATATCTAATGTTAAGTATACTCCTAGGAAGATACTAGTAATATACTAATAGTATTAATGATGACTCGGATGAGACTAATAAAGTGAGCGAGGAGATCCAGATTAGAGGAGGGAGTGAAAAAAGGTCACATTCTTGAAGAGGACCAGGTGTTGGCGGTGGAATCCGGGCGAGGGCGCTGCGGCCCGCTCTGCGGGGGGGGGGGAGTAAAGGGCGTTGCCAAGGTCGGATCGTCCGGGTACCGCTGGGTCCGGAGTACACCAGCCAAGGCGAACCAACACGAGTCCAACAGAATATCTCCATACCAGGATATTAGGGCCAAACTATAAACCTATGTGGGACTATTAGGTAAATTATGGTTCGAAACACATCCAACCATACCCCACTGCTAGGAATTGATGATAGTACGACAGCTCTGAATACTGGAATTTTCTATTATATCGAATACAAGGTTAAATACTATAAAATAAATAATTTATTAATAACTCTCTAATGGCTTTAGTGCCAGAGACGCGGTTGAGAGAGTAGCGCAGACATCTCCAGAAGTCTTGCTTTTCCCTCCATAATTGGAGGGAAGTTCCTTCTCCTGAATATAAATAGGTATGTCTGTCTGTGTTTTATTTATTTACTTATCTTTAAGTTATCAAATTATTAACACCCGCCTGAAACTTCGCAAATAGCTTCATCATATCCATAACCTACAAACATTTTATTTACGGAAATCACCTAATTGGCCTTTAAAAAATATTGGACGGTAGGTTTATATAATCTCGTTATTTTTACTTTTCCGGGGCGAAGGTCACTCCAAAACGGACCAATATTTTTGTAGGTCACCTATTTTTTATCAATTTTATGATCAAATTATCTTACGATCCGATTAGAACTGAATGAAATTGACAAAGTTAGCCGATCTCCAGTTTTAAAACGCCCCAATTTCATAAATCCTCATAAATATACTATTTGTAGGTTATGATGAGATGAAGCTATTTACGAAGATTTAGGGGGATGTTACTAATTTGATAAAATGGGGTCTATACCACGGACTATTATATTTATAGTATATTCTTCTTGATTATTACTTAATTGTTAATAAGAATAAAGTTGTTGTTTTTGCTCATTTTGTATAGATTTTTCTTCTTATATAGCTCCTTATTTAAATAAATCTTCTGTAATAGGTAAGGAAAGTATTGCAATTAGGTAAAATTTCCAACATGCGGTTTTCGACGGATCTAAACGTTTCAGAGTCCCCTGAGTCCGAAAAACACATTTTCAGCCATTGGTCTGTCTGTGCCAAGATTATTAACCTCCTGAGTATTACTATTAAGTAAGTACTGAGTACTATTAAGCCCCCTCAGTTATTACCCTTTTTTTTAAAGGTAACGAAATTCCCTACAAAACTATATTAAAATCATTCATTTCGGACAACTATTAAAGAAGTTACAGCTATTCAATTTCGTGTGTAACATTACGAGTCTAAGAGGTGAATGTGAGAAAAAAAAAGGAAAGTAAGAAAATCTGTTGACCGCATCACATAAGTTTTCTTTCGACTTATAACTGAAATTATTGTTTGACAAAATTGAGCTAAGGTAATAAAGTTTATGATCAGCAATATTAGATTATTAGCGTATTATTGAATTGTTTACGCTGATCTTCCATAAGTCGGATTACATTGCTTTAGTTTATCTAAGAAATTGTACTTAAATCTTTTCTTTGATCAATTTTCTGAAAAATAAATATAATTGATTTTTTATTTATTTCTTAATGGATATATTTAAAGATATAAAAACTTTTATGAAATAGGTAGAAAATTCGTGTGAGTGAACACATAAGATTTTTTTAAATATAATAAAACTACTCCCTACTCGCGATACAGAAATATATATATATATATATATATATATATAACTAGAACGGAATGGCCAGACTATAGAAATGAACGAAAAGGACTTAAATATCCCGGAGACCGGACGATATCTCCCGACATCTTCTACAAGGACAGCTGAGTGCGGAGTACTCGACCGGTTGTTTTCCTTGGCAATGCCGTCCTGGTCCAAAACATCTTCGCCTTCTAAAAGTCAGCCAGAGAACGAGTTCGGGTGACGCTTCTCTTGTCCTTCGAGTTGGGTTTCCTGGTTGAAAATATGAGATGTGCAAACCCGTAACACGATTTTTATCCCGATCTCGAAAAATCAAAATACTAAAAAGAGAACAGATAATCATTATTATTACTTTAATTTAATATTATGAAATAAATAGTATGAGAAAAAATTTTAATCGTGAAAAATTTTGAATACGAGTTTTCAACGAAAATACATATTTCAAGCAAATAAACAGTTTTCAATTCATTAATAAACGAGAGTACAAATATTAGATCTGCAATTAAAACACTTGGAGGAGAGAGATGTAAAACCTCAAGTAACATCATACGACAATATATGTATATTATGTGTTTCTATATATGTATATATATAGGTCTTGGGTTCAGTACAGTAGGAGAAAGTATTGTTCCTTATTCCTTATAAGAAAGTATTGTATGCAACGAGGTGATTTGAGCGAGATCACGCTCAACTGCCAGGTTTTTCTCCTTAATCAATTATTTTTATTAAGGGTACCTACTTTATAGAGGCTGGGTGAGCCCCAGGAGGTAGACAGAAAACAAACACGAATAAGACAGAATATATGGTTAGCTACAAAACTGGCGTTATTGTATTGTTATTGCATTATTCTATATTGATATAGAAGGTAATATGTTTGATCAGGTTGAGAGGATTAGGTATCTGGGGTCTACGATAACTATAAAAAAGAAAATTAAAAAAAAAAAAAACGAAATTGAAGCGGAGATTAAGGTTAGGCTGAAGGCGGGAAATGCTTGTTACTTTTCTTTGTCAAAATTACTTAGTCCTCGTCTCCTATCCCAAAACTTAAAAATTAGAATTAGAATAGAACAAAACCATTATCCTTCCTACGGTTCTTTATGGATGCGAAACGTGGCCGCTTACATTAAGGGATGAGCAACGTCTTAAAGTTTTTGAAAATAACTTGCTCAGAATATTCGGACCGAAAAAGGACGAGTCAACCGGAGAATTTAGGCGGTTACACAAAGCTGAATTGCGTGAACTGTATACGGTTAATATACTTGAGGTGATTAAGTTGAGGCGAATAAAATTGGCAGGTAAAATCGCTGGGCTTAGTAACGAAAGAATTCCTAAAAAACTAATATACGCTGTACCGACTGGCAAGCGTCCGATGGGTAGACCAAAGCGAAGGTGGGTAGATTGCGTTAAGTTGCTGATTTGGCGGGGTTCGGTTTAGACGGAGCCTGGTGGATGGAAGAATGCGGACATCGATTATTAGTATTATTATTAATACTATAGTTATATCCCGAATAGCATTAATTCTCTTCTTGAATCAGCAACAACCTTACAAGGAAATAAGCAGGAAGTATGCCCTATAACATATTGTCATATCAACGATGAGATGATTTTAGCAAATGAATAACATGCTATTTTAGTCCTTTATTTTCAATGAATGGAAATGAGTAATTTCCTGCCGCGTATGCATCATAGAGCGCATTATTAAAAACATAGCAACTCCATCTGCATAGACTAATATGGGAATTTCAATCAATAGGATTCGTTGAAAATCTTAACGCCGTAAAAAAAATATGAGGGTACAACAACATATATATATAATTTTCTGCTCGTAATCTATTGAGTCATAGCTAGATCACAATACTTGTCTAGTTTTTCACAATTTCTACATGTGTTTTCACTTAAAAGTCTTAAGGAACATATATAAATCATTCATTTACTCTAGTTACTTCATTTATTTTTATTTTTTTTATATTTTACCACTAAAATTGGTTACCTACAAAACTTATTTAGCGTTTGTTTCCAATTCTATTTAGTTATTTGTACGTTTTTGTTTTTTTGTTCCAATGTTATAATACTGTACCTCTATACGCATCTGCTTTCCTTAATATACCCTCCAAAACTATGTATATACTCATTTTACTACTTAGATTGTAGTTACTCTTTATTATAATAGGTCATCTGGCCAGATTTATTGTCACTTGGTTTGAACAATATTGTTATTCTTAAGGGACCTAGTCCCAGAATAAAGATGTTTTTCTATTTTCTATTCCTATTTCTATATACTCTAAAACTATACCTATACGGAAAGAGGGATTATCCTAAAGGTAACCGATTGTAGTAACCATAGATAGTCAATATTATTGAAATACCAATATATTCCTTCCAATATTTGATATTTTATCATTAATAGTATCTGCATCTATATTATCGATTATCGATGTCGTCGCTTCAATATTTTACAATTTTAATTTAAAAATATTGGTAATACCAGTGAAAGACGCTGGTATCTCCTCGAGTCCTGCCTTTCCCTCCACGAGTGTGGGGAAAGGGTTTGTCCCGCATATCTTGAGTGAATGAATATTGTAAATAAATATTGTATAAAAGCATGTGTGTATTTAAGTATTTATTTTGTTAGATAAGTTTATTTTCGTTTAGTTTAGTATCTTTTGGAATATTTAATAGTTGACCGTTGCATTATAAAGGAAGGAGATGGTCCGGGGTGGCGGTCATAAATAAGCTAAATAGTGGTAAAACTATTGGGCTTTTAATAAAATAGTTTTGCCACTATTTAGTCTATTTATTACCGCCACTCCTGACCATCTCCTTCCTTTAGTGTCTTTTAGTTTATATACATTTACTTTTAATATTATTATATTGCTGTTTATTATTTTTATTTATTGTGCATAGTATGAATGAGCTACTCTTTATCACTATTACCATTGTCCTTGAATGTGACAGATTGTAATATATCTCAATAAAGAAATTTCCTAAAAGAAAAAGATTTGAAAATAAAAATTAAAACTATCATTTTCGGAAAGAGCTAGGAATTATAAATGAATCTGATCGTTAGAAAAACAATAATATTCATCTTGCCTGTTGCAGATAGAATATAGTGAGTAGTAGAAAAAAATATCGATATTTCGATAATGCCGAATATCGATGGCTATTTCTAATCAGAGTTAAATAGCGCGTATGTGATCTTTCTCACTCATTAAACTACATTTGTAAGTTGGAATCTTCTCAAATGATGACCAAAAATTATCGTAGAAATCTATAAATTAGAATTTCGCTGAATCCGATCTATGGATGAATGGAATGGATAATTAGTTGAACGATAATTAATTTTACTGACAATAACACAGGTAGAAGAACTCATATTTCCAGTAATTATTTTAAATATTAAAATGACATCTTTTTTGAGGCGCCCATGTGCTAGAGAATCAATGTTTGGTTGATCATGTTACTTAGTTTACTTTGTTCATAGTTATTAGTATTTCTATGTACTTTCTATTCATACTATTTTTATAATTTTAATAAGTTCAGTCACTTTGTTTATAATTTTTATCTAAACAACTTCTACAAATTTCTATATCCTCATGTTCCTTGTATGTTCTAGCCCTGAAGAAGACTTGCAAAATCGGGTCGAAATGTCTGCTAGTAATAATATAGTTTTTTCACTATTTTAGTATTATGAGTGCTATAAAATTTCAATTTTTGTTACCAACCAATCATCATAAACCCCTGTACTTTTTCGGAATAGTATCCACAATAACTAGGAATAACAATACTTAGGAAGCTAGGAATTCGATTAAAATTCATTTGGATATTCAAATGAAACGCAAAAACTGTATTCAACAAGACAATGATGCAGAAATTTAAAGCAATTTACAAAACGGTCGTGATGCTGCAAAAATAATAAATGAAACTATAACACACTATTTATGTCCACTATTAATACAATTAAAGAAGAATTAAACAATATGGGTTTTAATGCTGGCTGAGTGTCGCCCTTTTCTATTATATGTTACTGAACTCTTTCCATGCTATCAACTTCTTAAGATATTACGACTTCATTTCTTTTTCCATTAAAGTGATCATCTCTAAAATTATTTATGATTATAGTTTTTAAAAAATTTTATAATATCAATGAAAATAGCGACCATCAATGCTTCAAGTACGATATTACGATAGGTACAGGCCTTCGATATCCCATCTCTAATCCATAATGAGAAAGTCGGGATTGTTTTAAAATATAACGAATCCATTACTGATTTGTGTAACAACGCAAAACTTGTTTTTATTTTATTTATTTTGTGCTGAAAAAGTATTTTTTTTTTTCGCAATACACAACTAGAGGAAGCTAGCATGAAACATTTACTACGCGATTCAAATCAGTTTGGAGATGGCAGAAATCAACTAAGATTTTAGGATGACAAAGGTATGGATGGCACCAAAACAGAAGGCTGTCTTAGACAATCTAGCGGAACAAAGATCGAAATATGGACAATAGACAATTTTGGAATATGGATTTAATGCCGTAATGTAATAGCTTTACGATATCAATATCAATATATTGAAAGTGTTTTATATTTTTTCTCAGAAAAAAATAATTATTCTTCTCTCAAAAATTTGAAAGATAAATATACACAACCAATGCACACCAAGTTCACTTTCGAACAGTAACATTCGTAGTGATTTAACATGACGTAAGATAGTTAGGAAAACAATGATCGCATCATCTCTCCCTTTAAACCTAATAACATTTTTTTTTTATTATTTCTTATTGATATTTACAACTGTTTTATATAAATACATCTAGTAAATTTGAACATATGGATATAATGACACGAAAACACTTGCTGAGTAACTATCCAATGGTAGCACTCTAATGATATGTCTACATTAGGAGATCACAGGGCCATCTTCATTTCAGACGCCTCGGAGGGTAATCAGGAATTGAAGAGGAAGCAAGGTTAGACAGAGAGGGTTGGGATGATTATGAAGTTTGTTATGGAAGGATAGGTATCTGGATTGGGCCAGATCTGAAACAAAAGAAACATTAAGGTGATTATGGATGGTTTTATTTGTAACAAAGTAAGGAGCATTGAGGATTTTACGAAGGATTTTGGACTGTAAGGATTGGATACGAGAGGAATTCGATGGTTTAGTGGAGCCCCATAGCTCAACTCCGTAAGTCCAAATAGGCCTTATTATAGTCATGTATATGAGTATTTTGTAATTAATTGGAAGTTTAGATCGTTTGTCTATAAGTGCTGAGTAATCGGAATCGTCGAGCGGTTTCTTGTCGTTTCAGTCTGGTATAAATAACAAATTACAGATTTATTTAGCGTACAATATACGAAACTATAATATTTTTTTTAAAATGATCTTTCGCTAGACAAATCGATACATTGTTTAAGAAGGAAGCATATTCAATTCGATATTCGATACAATTTCGGTACATTTGAGGTTCCTGAGTCCGACACTCGGTAAGGAAGTATTCTTTCTTGAGTTCACAAGTTCAAGAGAAACCCGCGCAAGATGACTCAAGCATGAGCCCGGTCTTCTCTCGTTAAGATATCACATTTCCCACAAAACCACACTCTTTGACTTCCGCAAAGGAAATCATGGTTAGCCACACATTGAAAGAATAGTTAAATAATATATAATAGCATATTCGAGGAACCTGGTAACCAAGTGGTTTCAGTTCAAAACAACGAAGTTTATATTAAACGAGGATTAAAGTTAAACCTCTCCTCTACAATGATTTTTTTACGTTGACGGACTTTCTTTATTTTATAAATTTTTCAGTATTTCTAAAGCCACTCTCACAGTTAAAACGAATTTTCGCCTCATTTGGAAAATATTTAGCTTTTAGAATGACTAGTTGCACTTATTACCTTTTAATACCAACAAATAGTAGTAAAAAATAACCAAAAGCTTACTGTATTTCCTCAATATTGAGTATTTTTGAGATTACAAATGTGATTTTATACTGACAGTATTTTTAAAACCTACGCTTCTGTTGATCCAATTACAAACCTATATACAGAAGAATTCCGAAAAGCTGAAGTAAAGCGACCGTATTATTTCAAAATCGGTAATATTTTCCGAAACTAGGTATAATTTTATAATCAAAAATTAAAATTAAATATAATTATGATATTATTAATTATCCAATAAGAATAAAGTAATGTTAATCATTTATTTTTCCACGACTAATTGATCAATAAATTAAACGGTCAAATAAACACTAAATTTTTAATGTTGGATCCGTTTATCTCCAAAACCAAGCTAACATATATCTGAAGATTAATTGACTGGCCACTTAAAGGTCATTTGTCATCAGAGCATTGCCTGAAGCAGTTGATAGATTGCCTAATTTTCTAAATTCCATATACCCTACATTTACTGACTAAAACAAACAAGATTAACCAAATAGTAATAAATTTCCCCAAGACAAAATATTATTACAGACGACATATATGTTTAGCTTAGGGCATAAGAATTAGATTGAAAAGAACATGGATCGGAGATCTACTTTCGTAAAATATATCAATATCAGGAAGAATAACTGATGGTTTTTATCCTTATGAATTGTTTTTTCCCATGCCTCTTTTTTTTTTTAGTGAAGCCAACAGTAAGAGATTTCATTGGTTGCTATTCTGTATTTTGACATTTGTAAATTAATTATTAATAAAAAAAAAAATCTGGTGCACGCAACACATAACTTTCACTTACCGCTCAACTTTGAATAGAAATTATTTTCTGGCCATGTTGGGCTATTATAAAATTTTTGAATTGCATTTTTAACTGAGCTAAAGCTAAAAAATTACAACTAACAAATCATAAATACCATTAAAATAACAAAAGTTCTATTTATTATATCAGGTTGATTATGGATTGCACGATCCGTTGATTATGGATTGCACGGATATTAGTTATTAAACTGTTATTTTCCATTGCAAAGTTTACGAAAACGGAATTCAGAGATTTGCATTGTCTGTCATAGACAGGTCAAAGGTTGTCACACCAATTGAAAGTAAATACTGTTGGAATATCACAAAAGGAAATTTCATCAAACTATTTACTAATTTAATTTTCTAAAAGGTTACATGATAATTTTTCGGAATAAATGGACGATAGATACCTAAATATTTAAATATAATGTCACATCTACAGTTATTAAGCCATAATAAATATATTTAAGGTTATAAACGTACCTATGAAATATTTTTTTCTTCCTTCTCTCTTATATAAAAGTAAGAAAAGAGAAAATAAAAGAGAGAAAAATATATATTAACCGGTATAAAAAAATAGCCAACTGTTCCGCAGTCCCTCCACGTAGAAAGACGGATGGGGATACGTCCAGAGAGAGAGAGAAAAAGAGAGAGAGAGAGAGAGAGAGAGAGAGAGAGAGAGAGAGAGAGAGAGAGAGAGAGAGAGAGAGAGAGAGAGAGAGAATGAGTGAGAGAAAGAGCACTCTTGTAAATTGACCCTACAAGGCTTGTCTTGTTTCATTTCGTCCAAACCTCCCAACTATAAAGGAGGCTTAAAGCTACTCCATGTTTTCAATTTCCCGGTTTGGTCGACATCAACTCGTTGTTATATCTTCTAGAAACGTCAGGTGGCGCATGTCATAGTTTAGTTAAAGAGACGAGCCTCAGCCATATTTAACACTAAGTCGACAAATATCCCCTCAGTCCAGATTTGCATATTAAAACCGTCCGTGGAACTTTCCTCTTAATTGGGACAGTATGAATAATTCAGGATTATATAGAGAGTGGTTGGGTCCTTTTTAGCTTTATATTTTCACACTTCTTTTATTTATATTTATATATATATATATATATATATATATATATATATATTAATTATTTAATTGGGAATAAGGTCACTTAATTTTTTTTTTGAGTAGTCTCTATATTTTGATGTATATGTTTATCTGTGAGGTTCTGGAACGCTGTTGTCGGGACTTCGGGCAGTGGATCAGCTATTGTCCTTTTATTTATTTTATTAAACTTTTATATTAATTTAAACTTCTTTATATTCGGTTGTCTTCTTCAAAGCTTCTCTTGGTCACAAGTTAATTTTTAATACAACTGGCGATCAATTTTTTCGGAAAATTCTACAAGAATGCTATCTATTTTATATTTGATAAATTTCAGAGTCGAACAAATTTCTTTTATATCTAAGTTTAAAATTGTACTCTGTGTTCTCAATATAATATTCTCTGGCGGTTATATGAACTTTGAACTGTCAGGAATAAGCTTATAGATGTTCTTAGTGCTATCTACAACGTGTGGTGGAAACATATTGTATTTTCTACATTTTAGGAGAAATGCCCTCTGCGGTTCCAAATATGGCAGCTTTTTTATTAATTTCAAACACTCTTTCACTGTTTTGCAAATATCATTCCCGTTTAGATATTTCATCTCCTGAAAGATGGCCATGACTTTATATCTGTTATAAAGTCAACTATACATCTATATATATATATATATATATATATATATATATATATATATATATATATATATACCCGGGTTAGTAGTTATAAGAGAGGGCCAAGAGAGTAGTGGAAGATAAACTCCCTCTTAAAAAGGAAGTATCTAATCAGAAGACCAAAGCAGAATACTTTCATGGACCCTGGGCTGGCTATCCCGAGGACCTAACATAGTACACAGTACACTATCATAATGCTTTATAACCAGAATTTAGATTAGGTAATTTAAATTTTAATAATACTCACTGAAGCTCTTAATAAGATGGGCAACCTCTCCCCTATAAAGCGTCACAACCTGCAACAAAAATTAGACCATTAATAAAATTGTAAAAAAAATAAAATAATAATAAAAAAATTTCTCATCGTCGAAAAATACAATTAATTTTTATGTAGCGATCTTCTTCATATCTACACTATAAATAATATGGTTGTATATAGATTTGCCCAAACGCGATACCCAGACAAGTCTTGATCATGCGCATTTGGTCTTGGTCTTGCGCAAAAATATCGCAATTATCTATTAGTCAATTAATATAGAGATATTACCATAATTTTTTCACATAGGGAAACCTAACTAAGCCCGAATAAAAAATTGGAAGAGATGAATGCAAAGGAATATTGGTTATACCAATGCTTTACATATAGTAACTAAAATTGTCAAGTATTAGTAAGTATTTTGTCTTAATGTTTATACACGAAACTGATATTTTTTTACCGGTGTTAGTATTGTAACAGTCAAGCGGTCTGGATCCGATTTTGGGCAACACTAGTAGTATAGATCCATTTTCACGCTCTTGGGAACGATGGATTTTAATGAATGAGGCGTCAAACGAATGAGAATTTTATGTAGAGGTGAGGAATACAAATTTCAAATAGAAAGAATTTGTAGATTTTTTTCCTTAGCTTTCAATATAAATCTACGACTGTTGACAACCAGCAGATAGTCTGATAACGAAACTCTGACATGGGGAAGAATAGCACCCAGCAGTACCTCTTCCATGTGTTGAATCAATTACGATAGTTTTTTAAGGAAGAAGGTCTCTCATCCAGCGCCTTTTTACTCATATTCATGGGCATGTCAGCTGAAACCATATCACTGATTAGTATGTTAGTATGTCCGTGTAAATAACTGTCAAATCGTTTGTAAAGAGTTCTTATGTGTTGGTCAACTGTAGGCAGGAGGAAGTCTGTATGTAATGTTTTGTTTGTCACGTACCAAGGAGCTTTAGTGTTGAAGTTTGCGTAAGTGGGTCTTTTTAGCTGTACCGTATATCTGTGAGGAGTAAATTCATATTGATTTAAATAAGTATAGGTATGTATTTAGTTTCTGTCTCGGTTCTAGTTTTGAAGATTTGGAAAAAAGTGAGTAAAGTAATTTGAGTCGTCTATCTTCCGTTTCATTTTGACATGTGGATCTTATGTATCCTTCTGTCAAAGGTAAGACCAAGGTATTCTATAGTGTCCGTTTGAGGAATTTGGTAGGATAATTGTTTAAAGTAAGATTTTTCACAATGATATACGATATTTCCATAGGGATACAAAAGAGGGAAAAATAATATTTATAAAATACAATTCAATATTAAATTTTCTGAACTAGAAAATGCCACCACTTGAAATATTGTATTATATATATTTTTTAAATTGAAGTGGATTAAAATAAATTCTAATAAATCCCATCAAATCACCTTTACCCTTCGACGTAAACCTATGACCTCATGTCCCACAGTATCCTTTAATAATACCCCACTTATCCCTGTTGAACAAATCCGATACCTTGGACTTCACTTGGACAAACGTCTAACTTGGAATCCTCATACCAGACTGAAACGACAAGAAACCGCTCGACGTTTCCGACTACTCCAACACTTACTAGACAAACGCTCTAAGCTTCCAGTTAATTACAAAAGACTTATATACATGACTACAATAAGACCTATTTGGACTTACGGAGTTGAGCTTTGGGGCTCCACTAAGCCATCGAATTCCTCTCGTATCCAATCCTTACAATCCAAAATCCTTCGGAAAATCCTCAATGCTCCTTACTTTGTCACCAATAAAATAATCCATAATGACCTTAATGTTCCTTATGTTTCCGATTTGGCCCAATCCAGATACCAATCCTTCCATAATAAACTTCAGAACCATCCGAATCCTCTCGTCTCTAACCTTGCTTCCTCTTCTATTCCTGATAACCCTCCGAGGCGTCTGAAAAGAAGATGGCCTCGAGATCTCTTATTGTAAATACATTTTGTTTTTAGAGTGCTACCAGTGGGTAGTTTCTCAACAAGTCATTTCATGTTATTATTTTCTGTTATCAAATTTACTTAATGTATTTAATTTTTTAATACAGTTGTAAATATCATGAATAAATAAAAAAAAAAATTGAGTATTCTCGCCCTTTAAAGGGCATTCAAATCCATCATTGGATATGCATGTCACCATTTACACAGAGTGCAACAGCTGACAAATTAATAGCTTAATGCTTCCATCCAAGAATATTAATATTTTATGAATTAACATTATCCTAATGTATAGTACTAAAATGCAGTGTTGCTGCGAGTTAATTAATGCAATGAGATCGAAACAATTAATTAACACTAATGGCCTTCCATCACAACGGTGGGAGGAAATGAATTATATATTTCCAACAGAAAAAGTCTTTGAATTTTTTATTAACACGAATGAATGATAAAAAAAGAAAAGAAATTTCTCTAGGAGTGATAGCAAACATCAAGAACTACATATATATATGTATATATAAGATAAAGACCGGAGACTGGCGATATCAGCCTTAATACCATCTTGTAATGTAAATAAACATAGCAATTGTATATAAGGCAGATTATTGGACGAATAAAGCAGTGTTTATTCAGAAGCCGTGAGTATTGTTTCTCGTTCCTCTTTCCTTCTTTTTTTTTATTTTTCAAGCCCGGAGACGCTTAACTGGTGCCGAAACCCGGGAGAACGTCAGGAGAACACGGAAGTAAAATTTTTTTTTCTGTCTTTATTTTAATTTTTTTTTCTCTTCTCCTAGTCATAAGGAAAAGACGAGATGCCGACAGAGGGCATAATTCGACCAGGAGTGTTGAACGCACCTGAAATGCCGCAACCTCAGGAAATGCCGATAGCGCAGATTCCTCAGATCGCCCCTCAGGTTCCGCAGATTCCGCAGATACCTCAGATACCTCAAGTACCGCAGATACAAGAGATCCCTCCCTTACCTAGGGACACATTGGCAGAGGCGCATGCCAATGCATTGGAGTGGATGAAGATAAGGGCAGCGACCACGCAGGATCTACGGAGAGCAATCGCAGACCTGGAGCGATTCGGGGGCGAGATAGGTGAACTTAATCACTTCCTGAAAGGCGGAGACCGCCTCATATCAAGAATCGAAGCAAAGGTGGCGGAGGACCTCGTGAACCTGGGAGACGCAGAAGCACTGAAGGCAGCTCTCGTGTGCCGAGTGAGGAGGAACATCCTCAACCAAATCCAAGCGGACGAGGAGACACCATGGCCAGTGATTAAGGAGCGTTTGAAGAAGGCTTTCGGAGGGGGCCGATGGACGCCGGAAGAAGATATCTTCCAAATGTTTAGGGAGTGTCGGTCCCAACGCCAAACAAGAGGACAGTATGCGGGGGTACTAGTGGCGAAGTACAACCGCATAACTGAGAAAATGCGTGAAACCATGAGTGTGGGAGAGGTCGAGGCTAGGATGGAATTCCTTTCGACAATACTCAAGGTTCAGTTGGCTAAGGAGACTGGGAGAAGGGACGGACTGCCTAGAGAGCGATCGTTCCTCGAGTGTGCCCAAGAAATGATAGATCTGAGTGCAAGAGAGGAAGAGACGCGGATGGAAGTAGAAGAACCAGGGTGGACCCGAGTGAGTGACAGACGACCCCGGACAGCCCAGATAGGGTGGAGGAAGAGGGAAATGAAACACCCGAACGGAGAAAAAGCCACGACGGGCGAGAGAAGATCCGGACAGTCCAGGCCTAGGAATGGACCCCGGAGGGAAGACCGAAAATGTCACGGGTGCGGGAAACCGGGACATTTGGTAGCACAATGTCCGCGCACTAGATGTTTCGAGTGCGGGACTGAAGGGCATATTGCCAGACAGTGCCCGTACATGTTTCGCAGGAGAGAGAGACCTCTAGACGAGCCAATGGAGGTGAACGCTCAAAAGTTGAAAAAACGAGCTAGGATGCAGCAGAGAGACGGATCTTCGGAAGAGGCAACCGAGGAGTCGGGGACGTCGGGAACGGAGACTGACGAGCCAGCCAGCAGTGGAGGCGAAGGAGGCAGGAGCAGCCAACGGAGCGAGCAACGACGAGCGACGGCGGTAAGGAGGAAGCGAGGTGGCATCTGAGAAGGGTGTCAGCAGAGAGGCGACCGCACAGCAACCTGCAACAATATTAGAGGTAAGCCATGCTGGTTGCCGATTATTGAAGTAGATGGGGGAGTGAAGTGTCTCGTGGACACAGGGAGCTCGAGTACTATCTTGACTCGGGGGGCGTTGGGGAGAGTGTGCGGGAGCGAGAGGGTACTCCGGATACAAAACTGTGGCTGCCAGCTAATCACTCTGGGTGGTCCCTGTAAAGTAGAAGGGGAAGCGTCAATTACGCTTGACCGGTGGGCAGGGAAAAAGGGGGAGCTAAGGGTGCATGTGGTAGAGAGCATGGCGCGGGAGTACCAAGTCATAATAGGGTGTGATCTGTTAGGACAGGTAGGGGTAAGCATTAGAAACCGTAGAGGAGCTTGGAGTATCAGGCTGGGAAAGAGGAAATTTGGATGTATAGGGGTCGCGAGAGAAAGAAGGGTGCGGATAGGAGCGGTGAACAGGGTGGAGGACTGGAGAAAGGCGTTACAAGCGGAGTTCGTAGATATTTTCTTCAGGGAGGGCGAGGTATTGGGGGTAACAGGGAAGACGGTACACGAAGTTCCACTGAAGCAAGATAGGGTGACCTACGTAAAGGAAAGGAGATACCCGCAGGCGATGAGGCAGCATATTCGGGAGGAATTGGAAAGCCTGAAGGAGCAAGGGATCATAGTCGATAGCACCTCGCCATTTAATAGTCCCCTGTGGGCAGTGAAAAAGAAGGCAGCGCCGGGGGATAATAAGGAAAAATACAGAGTGGTAGTGGACTATCGTAGGTTGAACGACAACACGGTAGACGAAAAGTACCCGATCCCTAGATTCGAAGATATACTTGATAGGTTGAGTGGGGCCGTGGTGTTTAGCACGTTGGACCTCAAGGCGGGATACCACCAAATACGGATGCACCCGAAGGACCAACA